CGAAATTCTCATTCGAGTTGATAATACGACGGCGATTGCCTGTATTAATCGATTTGGCTCGGTACAGTATCCTCATCTAAATGAGATAGCAAGACAGATATGGGGATGGTGTGAGCAACGGAATATTTTTCTATTTGCATCCTATGTCACTTCTTTAGACAATTCTAGCAGATAGAGAATCTAGAGTGATTAGTGAGGACATAGAGTGGTCTTTATCACAAAAAGTTTTTTCTCGGCTGTCGTCTGAGTTTGGTCCTTTCGACATAGACTTGTTCCCATCAATCATTAATGCAAAGTGTCTAGCTTATGTTTCCTGGCTCCCAGATCCGAGCATTGTAGCGGTAGATGCCTTTACTTTCTCCTGGTCAGAATTAAAATTCTTTGCTTTTCCCTCATTTATACTAATACCTCGAGTTCTCAGAAAAATTGTAAATGATAAGGCACAAGGAATTGTTGTGGTCCCTTGGTGGCTCTTCTAAGCTTAGTTTCCCTTGTTTTCCCGCTTATTAACTAGGGAACTTATAATTTTAATCTAAGGACTTACTTTCTTCTCCTTTCAGGAATCATCACCCAGCATGGAAAACTCTTTCCCTGGCGGCAGGGAAATCAATCTGGCTGGCAAATCAGGTTGGCTTTGATTAATCGCAGAGTTCCATTAAAAGCGATAGAAGTGACGCTTCCCTTTCGAACGCCACAATAAAATAATATACCAAGCCGCTAAGAGATTGGTGGTTTTATTGTAAATCCTCAGATGTGTGTGTGTGTTCTCTCTCTTATATTTTTTCGCCAAGTGCCACACAATTTTTGGAGTTTTTAGCCCAAGAATGGGAACGCGTTATTTCTTATTCGATTATCAATAATATTCATACTGCAATTTCTCTGATTTCGCAAAACGAGATCGGTACCCATCCTCTAATAAAAAGATTCTGTAAAGGAGCGAGAGTTCTTAAACTTCCTTGCCCTCGTTACGATTTTGTTTGGGATCCGGCGCCGGTTATTGATAAGTTAGCATCTTTATAACCATACGACGCGCTTATCTTAGATACTATCTCGAAAAAACTAGTTCTGTTATTAGCTTTAGGCACAGGTCAACGTGTACAGACATTAGCATCCTCACTACTTTCTCAAATCTCTCTTACGGACAAGCTCATTATTTGCTTCCCAGATAGGCTTAAGACTTCTGCGCCGGGACATTCCCAACCCTTTTTCTCCTTCTCCCCATTCGAAGGTAACGAGAATGTTCGCATTTATTCTTTATATATGAATAACGATACATTATTACTATTGGAACAATATTTATAACATGTTTAAAACGTACAGAAAATATTATATTTAATTAAATATTCCATGAGTTTTGGTCATTTAATTAAGCGTTTGAATTATTTAACTTAGATATTAAATTTTGTTTCACAATTAGTGTCAGCGAGGCAAGTTGGGAGAGATCTAATCTTGTCGTCGATAGAAAATAGATTTTTTTTTTTACATAGGATAGACTCTTCTGAACGATTGCGTCTAACTCTTGGTCATTTCAGCGTTAAAATTACGAACGTCGGCTCCATTTAACACGTTAAACGCCGCTATGGTCACCGGTTATCGGCACTGTGATACTATCGCGTCTCATTAAGTTACGTATAAAGTATAATCAATTAATCAATAATCAATTAATAATTAATTAAGATTGAAAAACCAGTTTAAAATAACGGCCAAAGGGACGAGATAGAAAATTGAAGAATAATGTGTCTCCATACACAGAAAAATATATATTACATTCAAGTAAATGTTTCTTATCGTTTTAAGTCGCGTGATTTAGCTTTAAATGTATGTATGTAATGATTGATCTTTAAATGTATTAAATTATATATAAATATATATAAAAATTATTATATATAATAATTATATAATATAATAATAATTATAACGTATTAAATGTGTTAAATGACGAGATTTACTCTAAAAAATTTCTATTGAGAAGTCAAATGAAATTTCCGAAAAATTTCCCATATGATGTCTCAGTTACTTCATATGATATCTCAATTGAGACATCATATAAAAAATAGAAAGGGTTTGTTTTAATTTTTGGATTATATTGTTGCACTCGCAGGCGCGGGGGGAAATAAACGAACATGTTATAAAAAGGAAAGGAACTTAATATAAAGCGTGGAACCAGGACAAAGGGAATTCTCGAAGGAACACGCATCTACACCGCACGCTAGCTGTCAAACGACTCTTCATCAGCTGTTGCTCTTCATAACAACTTCGTAGCAACCGTAGCTACGGGAACTGAGGCTCAGGACTCGCGCACACGTCGGACGTCGCGAGACCGCGTTTGCAACAATATTATAAATACCTTAGTAACTTAATATATAGTAACCTAATATAATCTAAACATTTACAATAAAAAATATAATAATTAAAATTTTTTAATTTTAATATAATCTAAAAATTAAAAAAAAAGTTTTTCTATTCTTTATATGGTATCTCAATTGAAATATTATTACTTTCTTTTTTATATGATATCTCAATTGAGATTGATGAATGATCACCAATATGAGCTGTAGTGGTGCCGTTTGCCGTTATATACTTATACATTAGGTCAAACTGAACACAAAAGTTCTTTACTATTTTGCAAATAACTATATAGATTTTTCGATATTAATTAAAGAAGATTTGTGAATGATCGCGTGAGATGTGATAGATGAGCCGTAGTGGTGACATCTATTTGCCGTCGTGTGCTTGTACATTAGGTCAAACTGAACAAAAAAGTCCTTCACTTTTTCCTAATAACTTTGTAAATTTTCTTAATAACTTTTTTTCCTAATAACTTTGTAAATTTTTATTAATTTTTATTAATTAGAGAACATTAATATATTATCGCGAGCGATATCCGCCAATTTTCTTTAATTAATGATTTAAAATTTACAAAGTTATTAGGAAAATGGTAGAGGATTTTTTCAGATTGAATTAATGTGCAAACACATGATGGCAGATGTCGCCATTACAGCTTATCTACCATACCTTGCGTAATCATTCACAAATCTTCTTTACTTAATATTTCGATAATTATTACGAACATCACAAAACGGTATAGGACTTTTATGTTTATCTCAAGCCACTACTACGTCTCCACGAGCTTCGAAAGTTGTTCTGAGACACCCTGTATACATTTATTTATTGTATCTTTAATGAATTTAATTTTGTCACTTAACCTCTTGTGAGCAATCACTGAAATCAGCGCGTTAATTCTCCTCGCGATTCATGCTCTCGCCGGCACGATTGCATACGATTTCTCACTTGGGGATCTGCTCCTCCTCATTTGACGTTTACGCGCAACCACCATAAGTTTGCGCCACAACGTGCCCTTAAGCGACACGTGACGTTTTTCATCACGCGTAGCGATCGGTCACGTTTCCTCTCGCCTTCACCTTTGAAGTACGATCGATGCGTTCGTGTCAGACGTCACGAAAGGACCGCGCTCGACCTGCCGATTGCTTAACGCGCAATTCGCAATCGCAAAATGTCACACAATTTTTGGAGTTTTTAGCCCAAGAATGGGAATGCGTTATTTCTTATTCGACTATCAATAATATTCGTTCTACAATTTCTCTGATTTCGCAAAACGAGATCGGTACCCATCCTCTAGTAAAAAGATTCTTTAAAGAAGCGGGAGTTCTTAAACTTCCTTGCCCTCGTTAAGATTTTGTTTGGGATCCGGCGCCGATTATTGATAAGTTTGCATCTTTATATCCATACAACGCGCTTACCCTAGATACTATCTCGAAAAAACTAGTTCTGTTATTAGCTTTAGGCACAGGTCAACGTGTACAGACATTAGCATCCTTACGACTTTCTCAAATCTCTCTTACGGACAAGCTCATTATTTGCTTCCCAGATAGGTTTAAGACTTCTGCGCCGGGACTCCCAACCCTTTTTCTCCTTCTCCCCATTCGAAGATAACGAGAATGTTCGCATTTATTCTTTATATATGAATAACGATACATTATTGCTATTGCTAACTCGCAAATATTTGAGCCGTTTATTTTGAAAGTGACCTAAGTCCATTTATACTTAAATTGAGATATTTAAGAGTTCGCGTTTTTATTAAAAATATACGTATAGGATACTAATGTGTCATACTGCTTAAGTGTATCTAAAAGAGTTAAATTTACAATTTCTATTAAAATAATAACAATTATTAAGTGAATAATATGTGTTTTCTTACCAAAAATGGAGTTAAGCTACTTTCAAAGTTAACAACCAGATTCGTTATAAAATTTGAAAGAGCCCAAGTCCATTCGACATAATTTAAAATGCTTCAAATTGAAAAAACAATACTCAATTTATTTTATATTTCTTTACAACACTTCAAAAACACAATTTATGCAATTCAGGAAATTTTCTAACTACATAAATTACATAACAATTTACTGCTCATCTACATTTTTTGTATGCAGGAGGGATTTGAAGGGATTCGAAAAGACTGACAAAGCCTTTTAGAAATAATTTGACAGATATTGCTTATTCTTGCACTAATAAATTATCAAGATTAATTCGTGTGCATAAAGACAGGTTGCCTCTTTGTTTCCATAATAACGTTGTATATAGGTTGCAATGCAGTGGCTGTGATGCTTCTTACGTTGGTCAAACTAGTAGAAGACTCTACACGTATTGGCGAGCATAGGAGAATTCCTAAGAGTTCTACGATGCAGTTAACGACCATACAGGAACATCGTTTGAGGAAGAATCATGATTTTGATTGGGATCATGTCAAAGTTTTACATGAGGAACGCTTTTACTTAAAACGCCTGATCTCAGAAATGATTTTCATCAAATTTCAGAAGCAAGGTCTTACTCACAAAAGGATATTGAATATTTAGGCACCAGCTACTGCGGCTTGTTATGAAAATAAACTTTGTTTTGGTTTCTTTCTCTTCCACAAGTCGTTTCCGTAATGTTAATGCTAGGCATATAAATCTATAATTATTTGTATTTCGAAGACGTGGCGATGTTATCGTTGACAGGATCGGTTTACTTTTAGCTGAACTCAACAAAGTATTTTATATTGTCAGTTTTAATTATTTATTATATTTCAATTTTACTTATTTTTATTTTATTTTATATGTTTTTTATAGTTATGACGGCTACTTCTCAATATTAATTTATTACTTAATATTATTTCGATAACGGTCTTGTCGGCTTTAATATTGAAATTACCTTCATCACTGCCTTCGGACATTTGTAAATCCGCACTTTCGGACATTACCAATAATGAATTGGACTTAGGCCACTTTCAAAGTAATGGTTTCAATTATTGAACTAACTGCAAAAACTTATGTGTCCAAAATTATCGTGTATACTCTGAATATACTTAACCGCAAATGTTATTTATGACAGCTAACTTCAAGTTGTACACGTTACTACGGTCAACAAAAAATAATTGACAAATGGACTTAGGCCACTTTCAAAATAAACGGCTCATTTGTACCGTTTATTTTGTTGCGGATCGAACGGCTCGGATTATTCTTACGCTCAGCGACATTATGCACAAAACAGAATTGCCTGAAATAAAACGAGGACAGCTTCGACTAATCTCGTGCACGGCGAACACACAAGATCATATTCCGCGACTATTTATTAGCGCAGCGTATTCTACCGCATTCGCGCACGGTGTGTTGGACGTCCATGTGTAAACAATATCTAGATGTATTCTGCGACTTATCTCCTCACGAATAATTTAAACGTTTTTCTGTGCGAGAATGTTTACCGCAAATGTTTACCGTACAATATCTCTGACGATTTTCAACGGAGGAGAAAATATGCGAAATGAAAAACAGACAGAATAATTATCCAAATGGAATGAAATCCGGAACATAAGAATTTGAAGTTACTGTGATAAAGTTATTTATTAATGGAAGCGAACAAACAATACAAATATTGCGAATGTTTAGGTCAAATAATTATAAATCTTTAGATATAATAATTATATTTAGATAAAATAATTATAAATAATTATTAAAATTATTTTTATTTTATAGAAGAAATAGAAGCTACTTGATTCTATTCCTTTTCATAGGAATTCCTATTCCTATTTCTTTTCATATTTTTTTTGATAACTTATATTTATTAATAACTGATACTTATTTTGATACCTTTGATACCTTTTTTTTTGATAATTTTCTTATATATCCTAAATTAAACGAAAGAATTAAATGAGTCATATCAAGATGGGATATACTGATAACTGGTACTTACATTACAATTTTTTTGAACTTCTTCTTTTTGCTAATGTCCGTCCTGTTCCATAACGCCATCATTTTCTTTTTCGCCTGATTAAGCTTGCGAATCGTGCGCTTGTTTTTACATGACTTACGTTTTCTCTTGATCGATCTGATATATATATCGATTTCTTTCATATATTTGTTTATAGATACAGGTGTCATTCTCTTTTCATGTGCTTTTTCTCGTCCTTCACGAACCATTCAGACAAATTTTTATCGTTAAGCACAGATTTTATAGTACGATATCAATTAATTTAAGTATTAATAAAAGTCCTCAATACGGTGAGGAGGCAGTTTATTAATACGACATACAAAAAATCACCAAACATGAAGAACACGCAAACAAATAAATAAAATTAATACCTTAAGTAATTAAATCTTTTCAGTAAGTCAGTAAGTCAAAGCGAAAAATGTTAATCGAAAATTTCGTTACAACACTTATTAAGGTGCTGTATCCGTGGAGTCAGTACAAATGCTGTGCTTATATTTAGATCGCGGAAAAGCACAACAACAATGTAAAGCTCGATGATAAACAGAGACAAAAATCTACACGCATCCGAATAACGCGTTATGAAGGTTATCAAGATTTTCAGTGTCAATTTGCGAATTAAGGTCTTGTCTTTACAATTTAATAAAAATTATTTCCGCAACCAATTTTTTAAAATACAGACGTTCTTCATGCAAAATTCTAACATCATCCCAATAGAACTCGAGATTGCAAGTAATGCGATGTTCTTGGACGACTGAAAGATTCGAAGTTGAGTCTTTGTGCTCGGAAATGTGTGTAGATACCCAGATAGCACAAAATATTCTGAGAATATTCTAACAAGATGATTTTTATATATTCTGATAATATTCGGAAAGAATATTCTTACATGATTTCAAGAATGTTCAGAAAATTATTGGAATATTATTTGTTATGTTCTCAGAATATTCTATTAAAACTGCACAGAATATTCGAAGAATATTCTAACAAGATGATTTCTACGCATCCAGAAAATATTCGGAAAGAATATTCTTATTCTTCGTTTTAAGAACGCTATATTATTAGAATATTATTTGCTAAATTCTCAGAATATTCTAAGGACATTTTAATAACTTCACATCATCAAACATTGTAGTAAGATTATGGATAGGTTACAAGCTTATACATTAAAATGAAAATTTCGCTTTGTACGCCCGGATCGTCGTTATTTAACTCATTTTTAAGCAAATGGTGCATTTGGAGATTTTTAAGAATTTTTTTAAGCATAAATAATCTAGTTTAAAGTATACATATGCCGCGGACGCACCCGGTTATCTGGGTACCCACCATAGAAAAATTCAATTTTGAGTGAACTATTAGCTTTTTTTATTAATTTATTTGATTTATGCATGTGAAATGAGTTGCGTAATAAGAAAATACATGAAAATTTATTTAAAAAACAAAAAAAACATTTATTTATTGCATTCTATGCACTTGGCAAAAGTTATCGCATGTTCATCGCAAATAGGCCTATCACATTCGGAGCAGGCCTTTCGTGTTTTCCTTCTCTTCTTAATTGTTTGTTTGTAACAAATATGGCAGGAACCGATAACTTTCTTCCTTCCTGATGCATCTCGTTGAACTGACGGATCTGGATCAGCCTCCACTGGATTTACTGGCCGACCGATTACACTTTCAATAGCGATCTTGGTGCTATAATTTCTCATTATTTGCACGTTATGATATCGA